GGTGGAAATGAAACATGGCGTGGCTGAAATGGGGTGGGGGATAGGGGGAAGAGGGAGATCGGAATTTGTTAAACATGAGTTTCAAAAACCTTGAGAAAGCCACGAACACCAGCAGTGCGCCCCGCACTAGACGGTTATAGCAGGTTGGTTCCTATTTACCTGCTACAGCTCCATCACACAGCATCCAGGAAAGTGTAGTTTGGAGTTGGGGGGGGAGGTAGAATCCTTTGTGAAACTAACTAACTAACTAACTAACTAACTAACTAACTAACTAACTAACTAACACTAATCAACTTTACCTACAATTAACTACAACTTACTTATTTACTTATTTTATTTACGTTTGTATGCCGCCCTCCTCCAGTACACACACTGTCTGGGGGACCTGTTGAACTCTTGATGTGTCACCAAACTACATTTTCCAGGAGTCCTTAGGATGGACAGTTACTGCAGGATGAGACCTGCTACCGCTATAGGGTGTATGGACCCACTCTGGGATGGGTTATGAAAGGACACTGCTCTTCATTTTATCCATTTAACCCCAAGTCCAATAGTTAGTCCTAGCTAGAGTGGTCCCATTAAAATACAGTTAGAGTCCCTGTATCCGCGGATTCACTTAACCGCTGCCTGATTTTTTTTTTAAAAAGCTCAGAAATATAGTGGTGCCCTGCATGATGATGAAAATCCATTCCAGGAAAATCGCTGTACAGTGAAATCATTGTCATGTGGGGAAAAAAATCCCCATTAGAATGCACTGAAAATCGTTTATGCATTCCAATGGGGAAATACCTCATTCTCTAGCGAAGATCGCCCATAGAGAACCGCCGATCAGCTGTTTTAAATCACTGTCTTGCAAAGCTTCTGTCTCAAAAACACCCATTTTGCAAAGGGAAGCCATTTTGCGGAGCCGGAAAAATTGTTGTTTTGCGAACAAACACAAAAAGTCACTTCGTACAGCGGGGTCATCGTATAGCGGGGTACCACTGTATGTATTTATATGTATTTCCAGGCGTTATTTACCAGAATTGGCCACTAGAGAGAGCGCCAGCAATCATGCAGTGTATACTATCTGATACTTCTGCCTTTTTGGCGATCCACCGTGGGGGTGGGGGCTTGGAACTGATTCCCCACAAATACCATGGTATCTGAATGGTTGGGTTTACCCTGTTTGGAACTCACAATCAGCTGTAGTACTTAAGAGTATTGATACATCCCATTTGAGGGGTGTGTGTGTGGAATCACAAGGGCTGTTTCCAATTCAAATAAACACAGTTGACCACTATCAAAAAAGGACATAAAACTTAAATTGCAGATGGGCCTGACAGCAAACTTATTCATTTTCACCTCCAACAGAGAGAAATGAATTTGGCAGAACAACCAGGCTGGCAGACAGAAATGAACAGGACAGGTATTTCCCAACCTGGATTTTTCTTCTTTGCTCTCCTCATCGCTCTCTGCTTCCAGATACTGCCGGAAAGTGCTCTTAAAAATCGCCTCCTGGTGTTCCCAGTGGCAGTCCTTGATCATGGGATTGTACCCCAAGCCCAGGATGCTGCCATCATCACTCTTCATCAAGGCTTCAAAAGGATTCTTAAAGACGCTTCCTGCGTTTGCAGACAGGAGACACCGTTTAGAAACCCCCACCCCAAGTCCCCATTCAATTCCAGTCTCTCCTATTTGGGGTCCACAATTTCTAAGAATTCTAGGGATGGGCCTGGAGAAGTCATAGGTTTTAGGTCTCTGGCTGGGGAGTAAAGGGTTGAGAGTTCGATTCCCCCCACTGGGCCTCCTGGACTACATAAATCCAAATCAAACTGTTATCAACAAGGCACGCATTCAAAAATGTTAGAAAAACAGGAGAGGGGGGAAGCGCTGACCTGCAAGGGGTTTGGGGGGCCTGACTTTCAGGAGCAGAAGAGGTGGCACCAGTTTCGATTCAACTTTGCTTAGGAACTGTTGCAAATCCTGCAAGGAAAGAGAGGAGGAGCAATGCTCTCAGAGTTCTGTCATTCCTGCTACCCGATGAGATCTTCAGACCCAGCCAAGCTCTGGTGAGATGGATGCCTCCTAGTCAAACTTTTCCCTCTTACACCGTTTTTTGCCGATCAAGAGGCTATTTTGACCCGAAGTGAGCAACAGCCTGGAACGCCACCCGGTTCATTCATCTAAATCTAAACTAGAACATCCATTCGAAGAAAAGGGTTATTCCTGCCTTTACAACGTCTTCTCTCCAGTGTGATCTCCTTTCTTATGTGTGCTTCCAGAATAAGACTTGAAAAAGAAATCCACATCCCAGAGATAACCCAGATGATACAGATACTTCACGTGTTTTTCACAGTTTCACCTTTTTCATAACTTGAGAGAGCACTCCTTCTAGAAACGGATTTCTCTGAATGTGTGTTTGGGGCCTACAGTTCACCAGTGAAAGACTTCGAAGGAGTGCTGGGTGCTCTCTACACATCCCTGATGGAAAACAAGAAGCAGGAACAGCATGCAGGCATGGCATCTACTCACAGCAATTGGAGCAACAACAAAAAAAATCTGTGGGCATTGAAACTGGGAGGTTGGTAGACCATTCCTCGGGTTCCTTTTCAAATTCAGTCTCTGGAATACTGAAGCCTTTCAAGACAATTCAAAGTTCGGACTACTCACCAACTCTTCTGGGCTTGGTCCTTGGACATCCAGATTCTTTTGCTGCAGAACCACAAAAGAATGCACGTGTTTTACAAAGAAAGCTAGAAGAACTCCACCTACAACCGTACTTTCAGTACAGAGCTTTGCCCTTTTTTAAGAGAACAACTTCCAGAACCGGTCACCCAGCACTGACCACCAGCCATGAAAGCAAAGAAGGGTATTTTGCCCAAGACCACCCTGGAGGTTTTAAAGGCCATCTCAACCGTTAAAAAGGGAATGTTTGGCCTCTCATGACCATGAGCCTCAAAGGGACCTTGTTCTCAGCCTCCTGAACACCACCTGATTTCTCTCCTGCTTGAGGCTTCCTGGAGTTGGAGATGCCGCCGGAGCCGGTGCCGCCTGGGCTTGTTCGGCCTCCTTCAGCCAGTCCTTCGACCTGAGTCGGTAGATCTCCAACCAGACTTCTGTGCTTCCTGCGTGGGGAGACCAGGAGAGAACCAAGCAGGAAGCAACCAAGTTAGTGAATGAGACAACCAGCCTCTGTGCATTTTTAATTCTGTTGCTGTATCGTCTCTTCTAGGGACGTGGGTGGCGCTGCGGGTTAAACTGCAGAGCCCTCTGCTGCAGGGTCAGAAGACCAACCGTTGTAAGATCGAATCCATGGGACGGAGTGAGCTCCTGTCGCTTGTCCCAGCTCCTGCTATCCTAGCCGTTCGAAAGCATGTAAAAATGTGAGTAGATAAACAGGGACCACCTCGGTGGGAAGGTAACGGCGTTCTGTCTCTAGTTGCGCTGGCCATGTGACCACGGAAAGATTGTCTTCGGACAAAATGCTGGTTCTACAGCTTGGAAACAAGGATGAGCACCGTGCCCTAGTCAGACACAACTGGACTAAATGTCAGGGGGAACCTTTACCTTTTAGCTATTGTCTCTTCTGCTATTATACAAGTGGGCAACGTGTCTGGATGCTAGCGGACTACAACGCCCCCCCCCATCCTTCTGCACTGACTGTCTAACGGAGAGGGCAGCCCGCTCACCAGGATGACTCATAGGTACAAGGAGTCACAATTAGAGAGAGGCATGAACCCAATGACGAACCAAAGGAGAAATACACAAACCAGCCTGGTTTGTGGTTCCATTTGCACAACCCATTTTGCAGAAATGAAATGCCAGACCTTTTTTCCCCCCAATTGGCACTTTGTTTTGCTTTGGCCAAATGGATGCCTGCCCAACCCTTTACAGGAGCTAGGCTGTCTGTCTCAGCACATGCGCGTGTGCATCGGCTGATAGGCCCGCTCATGCTCAGAAATAGCAAGTCCAGTGGCGAAGGCAGTAGGCTTCCCTTCCCACAGGAATAGACCAAAAACAAAAAAAGAGGAAGAACTGTGAACCCGTCCATTTTTCCAGGGAGTTCGTGGTGGTTTGTGAAGAACCACGAACCATCACAAACCCCTGGTTTCCCAGTGTGTGCCCATCTCCAGCCGCAACCCAACCAAGTAACTCTTGCAAGCTGTCGTTCAATGTCAGCTGGGACTTACCCTGCAGAAGGAAGCCGGCGTAATCGGCCCCGTAGGAGATCTCCATTGCCGTGCATACGGTCCGTTTAGTGATGTCTTCCTATCTCCAAAAAAAAAAAAAAAAAAAAAGAGGAAAACAGTCATCCTGAAATGAAAGCAGGTGGCCTGCGTGTCCATGGGGTGGAAGATGAGAAGATACGTATGCTTATCATGTTCCCCGCTACTTGGAGATTTCTAATGTGGATGATCAACCCGTGAGGAGGATTTAGTGGCTGTTTTTCACTCTTTCCAGGGAGTGAAATCTGACATTTCCAAGTAAACATGACAGGGGAAAAAACTCCACAGCACATGGGTTTTGGAAAGAAATTCCAGTGGAATCAGTGGCCTTTACCTGCAAGTAAGACGAAGGCAGGAGAAACTTGACCACCCACTTGTTACTCAATGACAACTCCCATCAGCCCCTAGCAAAGAAGGATG